AATAGTATTTCATTATAAATCTTGGCCAAAATGTATTCCGTTATCTTTTTAGTAAGAAAAAAAAAACCCAAATTAGTTTATAACTAAAACTTATAATTTTTAAACTTTTTTTTTACATTTTTATTTTTTTTTTTATATTGTTATTTATTTATTTTTTTTTACATACTGTCACCCTAGCAGTATAGTCACCATGGTGACACTGTACTACTTGTGGGGGGTGATGAAGATTTTTTTTTTTATACTGATTGCTTTTACACCCATAAAGGCTGTAAGAGGAATCATTTCTCCTTCTCTCTGGCTGCATTCTTACAGCCACTGAGAAATACTGTGTGAGCTGTGATTGATCACAGCTTGTCACATGGTACAAAGCTGTTGTGAATAGCCCTGTACCATGTAATCTCTGTGATCATTCACAGATTTCACATGTAGTAAGCAATGATGTCAGAAGTGACACATTGCTTACTACTCTGCATGTGATCACTGATTGGTCAATCTGTCCCGTACAGCGATTGGTGTTCCACTGTGTCCAGAGGACACAGCTGGCACTGGATCACGGTGCTGCGCACTCCCAGGGAGCACGCACAATCAGGGGGCGGGGAGGGCCGTTTATAAACGGCCACCTGACCCTGCACTGCCACCGTCTGGCTGTTCATATACATGGGTCGGATAGGATGTGGTTAAAAAAACTGAGGCGTTGACATACCAGGGCTTATTTACTAAAGCCGGAGAGTGCAAAATCGGGTTCACTTCTGCATAGAAACCAATCAGCTTCCAGGTTTTATTGCCAAAGCATAACCCCTCCCCCTCCAGAGGATTCCCCCCCCCCCCCCCATCATGACCAGGCCATTTTTTTGTGTTATGGCACTGCGTTACTTTAACTTGACAATTGCGCGGCCATGCAACGCTGCACCCAGATGAAATTGGCGTCCTTTTTTCCCACAAACGGAGCTTTCTTTAGGTGTTATTTGATCGCTTGTGCGATTTTTATTTTTTGCGCTATAAACAAAAAAGACCGACAATTTTGAGAAAAAAAAACAATATTTTGGACTTTTTGCTATTAAACATGTCCAGTAAAAACATTTTAAAAAATCTAATTTTGTCATCAATTTCGGCCAAAATGTCTCCCGCTCCGTGTCTTCACTAATAAAAAATCTCAATATGTGTAAATTAATTGGTTTACGTGAAAGTTATAGCGTTTACAAATGGCGGTATATATAATGGGATTTTTTTTTCCTACTAGTCATGGCGGCGATCAGCGACTTTTAGTGGGACTGCGGCAGGCATTCTGACACTGGGGGGAACTGACTTGGTGTCACTGACATCCCCAGTGAAACCAATACAGTGATCAGTCCTAAAAAACAGCACTGACACTCTACTAATGGCACTGGGCAGGAAGGGGTTAACATGAGGGGCGATCAAAGGGTTAACTGTGTGCTGAGAGTGTATTACTAGGAGGCGGGGTCTGTGTGCTTCACTGTAATCACACTGCTCTGGATGACTTGATGATTTGTACAGATAAAACTTTTTTTTTTGACTTTTTTCTGACCTCTGGAACGGATTAATTGGTTTTCACTGCATTTCCGAATTAATTTTTAATCACGTCCCTGTACAGTATTGATGCCTTTAAAGTGCACTTTATAAAGAGTTTTGAACAGATAAAACTTTATTGACTTTTTTTTCTGACCTCTGGAACAGATTAATTGGTTTTCAATGCATTTACAAATTTTTTTTTATGTCCCTGTACAGTATTTATGCCTTAACCATTTGCTGCCCGGCCCTATGGTCGAATGGCGGCCGGCAAATGTCATCAGCGTTCCGGGTGGACGCCATATGGCGTCCTCCCGCACATGCGCAGATTGCACTCCTGCAGAGCCGTGAAGCAGCGCGATCTGTCACCGGCCGTGTACCTCGGACACGGCCGATGACAGATCTGAGTATCGTCCCCTGTTGCCGGTACCATGTGACCTACTGTGACCAATCACAGCAGTTCACATGACAGTTGTATACAATGGATGGCTTCATTCATGGCATCCATTGTATACTAGTGCCTAGCTGTGAATGGTCACAGCTAATCACATGCAGATGTCATGTGATTAGCTGTGGCCAAATCACAGCTAAGCACAAAAAAGAAAAAAACCTTAATGAATCGATGTCATTCAGGTAAATGCTTGCTTATAGCAAAGTAATTTTTTGCTATAAACAAATTGTGTATAAAAAAAAAAATAAAAAAATACTGATCACTTCTCCAAAGTAGTACAATGTTACTGTGGTAACATTGTGCTACTTTGGTCATAGTGAAATATGATAAAAAAATCTTAAATAAATTTTAATAAAAAATAATAAAAAAATATATTTTTTTTTTTTTTCATACTGTCACCAGTCAGTGTCCCTGATCACCGCCATGCCAGTTATATGATGACGCTGTACTGCACTGGTAACAGTATGTAAAAAAAAATAGTGAAAACTAATTTTTTTAATTTTTTCATTTTCCGAAAAATATGACAAAAAAAATTCAACTTCAAAAAACTCGCCATGCCTCTTATGAAGCACGTCGGACTGTCTACTCTGCAAAAAGGGGTCATTTGGAGGATATCTGTCCTGTCCTGACATTTGGGGGATATCTGTACTGTCCTGACATTTGGGGTATATCTGTCCTGTCCTGACATGTGGGGGATATCTGTACTGTCGTGACATTTGGGGGATATCTGTCCTGTCCTGACATTGGGGGATATCTGTACTGTCCTGATATTTGGGGGATATCTGTACTGTCCTGACATTTGGGGGATATCTGTACTGTCCTGACATTTGGGGGATATCTGTACTGTCGTGACATTTGGGGGATATCTGTACTGTCCTGACATTTGGGGGATATCTGTACTGTCCTGACATTTGGGGGATATCTGTCCTGTCCTGACATGTGGGGGGATATCTGTACTGTCCTGACATGTTGGGGGATATCTGTCCTGTCCTGACATTTGGGGGATATCTGTACTGTTCTGACATTTGGGGGATAACTGTACTGCCCTGACATTTGGGGGATATCTGTACTGTCCTGACATTTGGGGGGATATCTGTACTGACCTGACATTTGGGGGGATATCTGTACTGTCCTGACATTTGGGGATATCTGTACTGTCCTGACATTTGGGGGGATATCTGTACTGACCTGACATTTGGGGGGATATCTGTACTGTCCCGACATTTGGGGGATATCTGTACTGTCCTGACATTTGGGGGATATCTGTACTGACCTGATGTTTTGACATGGGGGATATCTGTACTGTCCTGACATTTGGGGGATATCTGTACCGTCCTGACATTTGGGGGATATCTGTACTGTCCCGACATTTGGGGGATATCTGTCCTGTCCTGACATTTGGGGGATATCTGTACTCTCCTCACATTTGGGGGATATCTGTACTGTCCTCCTGACATTTGGGGGATATCTGTACTGTCCTGACATTTGGGGGATATCTGTACCGTGTCCTGACATTTGGGGGATATCTGTACTGTTCTGACATTTGGGGGATAACTGTACTGTTCTGACATTTGGGGGATATTTGGGGGATATCTGTACCCTGACATTTGGGGGATATCTGTACTGACCTGACATTTGGGGGGATATCTGTACTGTCCTGACATTTGGGGGATATCTGTACCGTCCTGACATTTGGGGGGATATCTGTACCGTCCTGACATTTGGGGGATATCTGTACCGTCCTGACATTTGGGGGATATCTGTACCGTCCTGACATTTGGGGGATATCTGTACTCTCCTGACATTTGGGGGATATCTGTACTGTCCTGACATTTGGGGGATATCTGTACTGTTCTGACATTTGGGGGATATCTGTACCGTTCTGACATTTGGGGGGATATCTGTACCGTCCTGACATTTGGGGGGGATATCTGTACCGTCCTGACATTTGGGGGGATATCTGTCCTGTCCTGACATTTGGGGGATATCTGTACTCTCCTCACATTTGGGGGATATCTGTACTGTCCTGACATTTGGGGGATATCTGTACTGTTCTGACATTTGGGGGATATCTGTACCGTTCTGACATTTGGGGATATCTGTACTGTCCTGACATTTGGGGGATATCTGTACTGTCCTGACATTTGGGGGATATTGTACTGTTCTGACATTTGGGGGGATATTTGTACTGTTCTGACATTTGGGGGATATCTGTACCGTCCTGACATTTGGGGGATATCTGTACCGTTCTGACATTTGGGGGATATCTGTACCGTTCTGACATTTGGGGGATATCTGTACCGTCCTGAATTTGGGGGATATCTGTACTGTGCTGACATTTAGGGGGATATCTGTACCGTCCTGACATTTGGGGATATCTGTACTGTCCTGACATTTGGGGGATATCTGTCCTGTCCTGACATGTGGGGGATATCTGTACTGTTCTGACATTTGGGGGATAACTGTACTGTCCTGACATTTGGGGGATATCTGTACTGTCCTGACATTTGGGGGATATCTGTACTGTCCTGACATTTGGGGGGATATCTGTACTGTCCTGACATTTGGGGGATATCTGTACTGTCCTGACATTTGGGGGATATCTGTACTGGGGGATCTGTACTGACATTTGGGGGATATCTGTACTGTCCTGACATTTGGGGGGATATCTGTACTGACCTGACATTTGGGGGATATCTGTACCGTCCCTGACATTTGGGGGATATCTGTACTGTCCTGACATTTGGGGGATATCTGTACTCTCCTCACATTTGGGGGACTATCTGTACTGTCCTGACATTTGGGGGATATCTGTACTTCCTGACATTTGGGGGGATATCTGTACTGTCCTGACATTTGGGGGATATCTGTACTGTCCTGACATTTGGGGGATATCTGTACCGTTCCTGACATTTGGGGGATATCTGTACTGTCCTGACATTTGGGGGATATCTGTACTGTTCTGACATTTGGGGGATATCTGTACTGTCCTGACATTTGGGGGATATCTGTACTGTCCTGACATTTGGGGGATATCTGTACTGTTCCTGACATTTGTGGGGATATCTGTACTGTCCTGACATTTGGGGGATATCTGTACCGTCCTGACATTTGGGGGGATATCTGTACTGTCCTGACATTTGGGGGATATCTGTACCGTCCTGACATTTGGGGGGATATCTGTACCGTCCTGACATTTGGGGGGATATCTGTACTGTCTTGACATTTGGGGGATATCTGTACTCTCCTCACATTTGGGGGATATCTGTACTGTCCTGACATTTGGGGGATATCTGTACTGTTCTGACATTTGGGGGATATCTGTACCGTTCCTGACATTTGGGGATATCTGTACCGTCCTGACATTTGGGGGATATCTGTACCGTCCTGACATTTGGGGGGATATCTGTACTGTCCTGACATTTGGGGGATATCTGTACTCTCCTCACATTTGGGGGATATCTGTACTGTCCTGACATTTGGGGGATATCTGTACTGTTCTGACATTTGGGGGATATCTGTACCGTTCTGACATTTGGGGGATATCTGTACTGTCCTGACATTTGGGGGATATCTGTACTGTCCTGACATTTGGGGGGATATTTGTACTGTTTCTGACATTTGGGGGGATATTTGTAATGTTCTGACATTTGGGGGATATCTGTACCGTCCTGACATTTGGAGGATATCTGTACCGTTCTGACATTTGGAGGATATCTGTCCCGTCCTGACATTTGGAGGATATCTGTCCCGTCCTGACATTTGGGGGATATCTGTACCGTCCTGACATTTGGGGGGATATCTGTACCGTCCTGACATTTGGGGGATATCTGTACTGTCCTGACATTTGGGGGATATCTGTACCGTCCTGACATTTGGGGGATATCTGTACTATTCCTGACATTTGGGGGATATCTTGTACCGTCCTGACATTTGGGGGATATCTGTACCGTGTCCTGACATTTGGGGGATATCTGTACTGTTCTGACATTTGGGGGATATCTGTACTGTCCTGACATTTGGGGGATATCTGTACTGTTCTGACATTTGGGGGATATCTGTACTGTGCTGACATTTGGGGGATATCTGTACTGTCCTGACATTTGGGGGATATCTGTACTGTCCTGACATTTGGGGGGATATCTGTACTGTCCTGACATTTGGGGGATATCTGTACTGTTTCTGACATTCTTGGACCTCAAGAAATTAGATTGGCTGTCAGTACTTCAGGATGATCAATATTCAGATCTATCCCATAGTTTGTGAACTCTATAACTTTCCTACAAACTAAAAATACATCCTAATTTGGGTTATTTTCACCAAAGACATGGAGCAGAATACATCTCGGCCTAAATTTATGAAGAACAATTATTTATTTGCAAACTTTTATAACAGAAACAAAGAAAAACATGTTTTTTTTTCCAAATTTTTTTTTTTTTTTTTGTTATTTAGCAAAAAATAAAAACCCCAGCGATGATTAAATATCACCAAAAGAAAGCTCTAGTTGTGTGAAGAAAATGATAAAATTTTAGTTTGGGTACAATGTTGTATGACCGCGCAATTGTCATTCAAAGTGTGAGAGCGCTGAAACCTGAAAACTGGCCTGGGCAGGAAGGGGGAAAAGTGCACTTTATAAAGAGTTTTGAAAAGATAAAATACTTATTTTAGCTTTTTTCCTGACCTCCAGAACGGATTAATTGGCTTACTTCATTCACTCCGGCCTCTCCCTCACTCGATGTTCGTGTTGCCGCTTGGCTCCGCCTCCTCACCGGTGATTGGGCGCCAGAACTGTAGCTCAGGAAAGGCACACAGTCGGCCAATCACCTGCGAGCAGACGGAACCGAGCGGCCCCGCGAACATCGAGTGAGGGAGAGGCCGGAGTGAAGAAGGACAGCTGACAGGTAAGTGTGCCGTGCAGATGGTGCTGCTGCAACCAGGTGTGCTGGAACAGGGGTCAGCAAGTTATGTGTCACTGGTGTCATTGATACTAATGATGGGGCATTATTCCTCCCACTGACACCAACGATGGGGCACTATCCCCCCCCCCCCACTGACACCAACGATGGGGCACTATTCCTCCCTCTCACTGATACCAATGATGGGACACTATTCCTCTCACTGACACCAATGATGGGGCACTATTCCTGCCACTGATACCAATGATGGGGCACTATTCCTCCCACTGACACCAATGATGGGGCACTATTCCTCCCACTGACACCAATGATGGGGCACTATTCCTCCCAGTGACACCAATGATGGGGCACTATTCCTCCCAGTGACACCAATGATGGGGCACTATTCCTTCCACTGACACCAATGATGGGGCACTATTCCTCCCAGTGACACCAATGATGGGGCACTATTCCTCCCACTGACACCAATGATGGGGCACTATTCCTCCCAGTGACACCAATGATGGGGCACTATTCCTCCCACTGACACCAAAGATGGGGCACTATTCCTCCCACTGACACCAAAGATGGGGCACTATTCCTCCCACTGACACCAATGATGGGGCACTATTCCTCCCACTGACACCAACGATGGGGCACTATTCCTACCACTGACACCAATGATGGGGCACTATTCCTCCCACTGACACCAACGATGGGGCACTATTCCTCCCACTGATACCACTGATTCCACCCACTGACACCAATGATGGGGCACTATTCCTCCCACTGACACCAATGATGGGGCACTATTCCTCCCACTGACACCAATGATGGAGCACTATTCCTCCCACTGACACCAATGATGGGGCACTATTCCTCCCACTGACACCAATGATGGGGCACTATTCCTCCCACTGATACCAATGATGGGGCACTATTCCTCCCACTGATACCGACGATGGGGCACTATTCCTCCCAGTGACACCAATGATGGGGCACTATTCCACCCACTGACACCAACGATGGAGCACTATTCCTCCCGCTGACACCAATGATGGGACACTATTCCTCCCGCTGACACCAATGATGGGGCACTATTCCTCCCACTGATACCAATGATGGGGCACTATTCCTCCCACTGACACCAATGATGGGGCACTATTCCTCCCACTGACACCAATGATGGGGCACTATTCTTCCCCACTGATACCAACGATGGGGCACTATTCCTCCCAGTGACACCAACGATGGGGCACTATTCCTCCCACTGACACCAACGATGGGGCACTATTCCTCCCGCTGACACCAACGATGGGACACTATTCCTCCCGCTGACACCAACGATGGGGCACTATTCCTCCCACTGACACCAACGATGGGGCACTATTCTTCCCACTGACACCAACGATGGGGCACTATTCCTCCCACTGACACCAACGATGGGGCACTATTCTTCCCACTGACACCAACGATGGGGCACTATTCCTCCCACTGACACCAACGATGGGGCACTATTCCTCCCACTGACACCAATGATGGGGCACTATTCCTCCCACTGACACCAATGATGGGGCACTATTCCTCCCACTGACACCAATGATGGAGCACTATTCCTCCCACTGACACCAATGATGGGGCACTATTCCTCCCACTGACACCAATGATGGAGCACTATTCCTCCCACTGACACCAATGATGGGGCACTATTCCTCCCACTGACACCAATGATGGGGCACTATTCCTCCCACTGATACCAATGATGGGGCACTATTCCTCCCACTGACACCAATGATGGGGCACTATTCCTCCCACTGATACCAATGATGGGGCACTATTCCTCCCACTGACACCAATGATGGGGCACTATTCCTCCCACTGATACCAATGATGGGACACTATTCCTCCCACTGACACCAATGATGGGACACTATTCCTCCCACTGACACCAATGATGGGGCACTATTCCTCCCACTGATACCAATGATGGGGCACTATTCCTTCCACTGACACCAATGATGGGGTACTATTCCTCCCACTGACACCAATGATGGGGCACTATTCCTCCCACTGATACCAATGATGGGGCACTATTCCTCCCACTGACACCAATGATGGGGCACTATTCCTCCCACTGATACCAATGATGGGGCACTATTCCTCCCACTGATACCAATGATGGGGCACTATTCCTCCCACTGACACCAATGATGGGGCACTATTCCTCCCACTGACACCAATGATGGGGCAGTATTTCGCTCCATATGACACACTTGGGGGGAAATGTCCTGTGCGTCTTATGGAGCGGCCGGCCCAGTATTCCCGCCGCCGTTGTATGTCCGCAGTCTCTGGTCATCTCCTGTACTATGTCTGCAGTCTCTGGTCATCTCCTATACTATGTCCGCAGTCTCTGGTCATCTCCTGTACTGTGTCCGCAGTCTCTGGTCATCTCCTGTACTGTGTCCGCAGTCTCTGGTCATCTCCTGTACTATGTCCGCAGTCTCTGGTCATCTCCTGTACTATGTCCGCAGTCTCTGGTCATCTCCTGTACTGTGTCCGCAGTCTCTGGTCATCTCCTGTACTATGTCTGCAGTCTCTGGTCATCTCCTATACTATGTCCGCAGTCTCTGGTCATCTCCTGTACTGTGTCCGCAGTCTCTGGTCATCTCCTGTACTGTGTCCGCAGTCTCTGGTCATCTCCTGTACTGTACTCCGCAGTCTCTGGTCATCTCTGTACTATGTCCGCAGTCTCTGGTCATCTCCTGTACTATGTCCGCAGTCTCTGGTCATCTCCTGTACTGTGTCCGCAGTCTCTGGTCATCTCTTGTACTGTCCGCAGTCTCTGGTCATCTCCTGTACTATGTCCGCAGTCTCTGGTCATCTCCTGTACTGTCCGCAGTCTCTGGTCATCTCCTGTACTATGTCCGCAGTCTCTGGTCATCTCCTGTACTGTGTCCGCAGTCTCTGGTCATCTCCTGTACTGTGTCCGCAGTCTCTGGTCATCTCCTGTACTGTGTCCGCAGTCTCTGGTCATCTCCTGTACTGTCCGCAGTCTCTGGTCATCTCCTGTACTATGTCTGCAGTCTCTGGTCTCTCCTGTACTATGTCCGCATCTCTGGTCATCTCCTGTACTATGTCCGCAGTCTCGGTCATCTCCTGTACTGTGTCTGCAGTCTCTGGTCATCCCTGTACTATGTCCGCAGTCTCTGGTCATCTCCTGTACTATGTCTGCAGTCTCTGGTCATCTCCTGTACTATGTCTGCAGTCTCCAGTCATCTCCTGTACTATGTCCGCAGTCTCTGGTCATCTCCTGTACTGTCCGCAGTCTCTGGTCATCCCCTGTACTGTGTCCGCAGTCTCTGGTCATCTCCTGTACTGTCCGCAGTCTCTGGTCATCTCCTGTACTGTGTCCGCAGTCTCTGGTCATCCCTGTACTGTGTCCGCAGTCTCTGGTCATCTCCTGTACTGTCCGCAGTCTCTGGTCATCCCCTGTACTGTGTCCGCAGTCTCTGGTCATCCCTGTGCTGTCCGCAGTCTCTGGTCATCTCCTGTACTGTGTCCGCAGTCTCTGGTCATCTCCTGTACTATGTCCGCAGTCTCCGGTCATCTCCTGTACTGTGTCCGCAGTCTCTGGTCATCTCCTGTACTATGTCCGCAGTCTCTGGTCATCTCCTGTACTGTCCGCAGTCTCTGGTCATCTCCTGTACTGTCCGCAGTCTCTGGTCATCTCCTGTACTGTGTCCGCACTCTCCGGTCATCTCCTGTACTGTGTCCGCAGTCTCTGGTCATCTCCTGTACTGTGTCCGCAGTCTCTGGTCATCCCTGTACTGTCCGCAGTCTCTGGTCATCTCCTGTACTGTGTCCGCAGTCTCTGGTCATCCCCTGTACTATGTCCGCATTTGTTCATAGTTTTTTTTTTTTAAACTATAGTCCGGCCCTCCAACGGTCTGAGGGACAGTGAACTGGCCCCCAGTTTAAAAAGTTTGAGGGCCCCTGCTGTACAGTATTTATGCCTTTAATGTGCACTTTATAAAGAATTTTGAACAGATAAAACCTTTTTTGACTTTTTTCGGACCTCCGGATTGGATTCATTGGTTTTCAATGCCTTCCTTTTTTCGCAATACGAAACGTCCCGCAGAATGCATTAAATTC